ATTAATTAGGTCACTGGAACTCCTAAGGAGAGTATGAGCTTTTCCTTGGAAAAAGATGAACAATCTCCTCCTGCGCAATTTACAGCCTCTGAAAACCCACTGGAGGGTCAGATATAAATCAATTTCAATCTTATAGTATACACTGTAATATCATACTGCATTTTAAAGGGTGTTCTGGTGGCCCAGTGGGTAAAGTATTGCTCTGTCAATCTCAAGGCAGGCGATTTGAATCCACCAACTAATCTATAGGAGAAAGATGGCAAATCCCTCCTGAGCAATTTAGAGCCTATGAAAACCCATTGGAAGTTCAGCTATTAGTCAATTCCAACTTACATATGTTGAAGTGAGTTGAATTTAAAGGGATGAAAATGGAATTAGTTACATAGGGGCACACAGAGGAAAAAATAGCAGAAATATAAAAAAATCAAAAGAAAACTCTCAAAATTCTGAAATTACATTCTTTTTAATTCTATAGATTGTCAAACTATCAATAAAATATGGTGATATTTTCAACAAATCCAGAATTATATATATTCTACACTCTTACCAATAAGTTTCTGGAAGATAAGCTCAGGTAAAGAGAATAAGGCAAGAATTTGACAGATCTTTAATACAGCCAGAAGGAAGGAGACAAAAAGAATCACAGTGAGAATGGCAAAATGAAATTCCAAGAGCACAGCCGAAGGATATGTGTGAAAAACTGCAATACAGATTGCATCTCTAGAACTTATCACAATGGCTCAAGATATGTATGTCAAAGATTCATCTTCAATATTTAATGATCTTGATATCACATTTTTTTCATTTATAGTATTTTAATAAAGCAAAACTCACATATAATAACTTGTAAAATATTATTGTTTTAACCCAAATACAGAATGTTCGGATGGACTTAGCCCTGTTTCTTTCTGAAATTAATGTATTTTGATGGGTATAGTCTCTTATTAATACTCCACTTCCTTTGGCTTGTATTAACCAGGAATATTTTACTTTCACCTGTGACTAAGAACTATAGTTAGGGAAAGTGACATGAAACTAAAAATAATTGAAAGACACACATTCAAGGAAGGCATATGCTTTCTACTTCAGCCTTTGGAACAAAACTATTTATTGTTTAGTAATACAGAGAGAAATGGTGTTTTGGGTTTTGTTTTTTTTTTAAAGAAAACAATTGTTTAACACAACATCAAGACTATGTTTACTTCCTCAGTGAAAGAGGAGGATAAAATTAGGAACTGACAGTTCATTTTTTATAATAATAATAATCTGTTGTAAATAGTTGGGTGCTCAGATACTAACTGTATGTTTTAAAAAAGAAAGAATGAATGATGATATGACAATTGGCCTTTAAAAGGTCATAGTCTTGAAAAGCCTATAGGTCATACCTTTGCCCTGACCGCATCAGAGTCATCATGAGTCTCAATCACCTCAAAGCTCACTGACTTTGTTTGCTTGCTTGTCTTTATCTGTAAGATAGGTGTTGAGTATATTTTTTCATTTCTTTAATTTTGTGGAAAATTTTCATTATAAAATTTCTTCTCATTATATAATTTCATCATTAAAAAGTGAGCAAAATATAATAGTGAAAATGGATTTTATTAATGTAAGAGTCTTTGTGTCTAAAAGACTGGTAGTGGTTCATATTTTACAAAAGTAAACCAAATGGAAACTCAACTTGATGATGTTGCACAAATGGGTTATGTCATAGTGACCCTATGTACAGCAGAACAAAATGTTGCCTGATATTGCACTAGAATTGACACAGTGTTTGATGCAGTGGGCCCTACTGTGTCAGGAAGTGTGATAGTATGTCAGGAAGTGTGAAGATGGCACAGAATAGGTCAGGTTTGAGATCTGTTGTTCATAGGATCTGTTATGGGTTGGACTTGAGTTGACAGCATCTAACAATAACATTGTTACCTTAAGAATCCTGTTTTATCCTGTGCCATCTTTATCATCTCTGTCACTCTAGAGCCCATTGTTACAGTTACTACGTCAATCCATCTCATTGAATATCTTCCTCTCCTTCATTAGGCTTCCACTTTTTCTAAGCATGATGTCCTTTTCCAACAACTGGCCCCTTCTAACAACATACTCAAAGTATATGAGATGAAGCTTCACAACCCTTTACTCCAAGCAGCACCTGGCTATAAATACTTGTTTGTTCTCTTGGCAGTCCATGTGATATTTATGACTCTTCTCCAGCACCAAAAGTCAAAGACATTAGTTCTGCCATCTTTATTCACTGTCCAACTCTAAAAATAATGTGACTTGGGTCAGGAGTATCTTTAATGTATTGCTTGCTGGTGGTTTGAAAAGCTTGCTGGGAGAATGACAGAGGCTCCCCGGGAGAAATATGGGAAATCTCCTCTAATTAAGATTCACAGATTTGAAAACCCAGGAGAGAGTGACAATGAGTCAAAATCGATTGGATGGCAGCATGTTTGGGAGGTTTGGGCTTTAAAAAAATTCCTTATAAAGAGTTTTTAAAAAAAAATCAATTCTTTATCACTTATCTTTATTTATTGTCAAACTCTAATTGAAAATACCATGCCTTGGGTTAGGTGTACCTGTAGTGTATGGCTCTCTGGTGGTTTAAATCTACCAGTAGATCCTTGAGAGGAAAATGAGCAGTCTCCTCCCATTAACGTTTAGAACCTTGAAAACCAGATGGAGTATGGGGGGTCACTATGAGTCAAAATTTATTGGATGACAGTAAGTTGGAGTGTTTTGGGGGTTTTTTATTCTTTACTTTAAATTTCTATCCTGACTATTGTTGTTACACACCATTGAGTTAGAACCAACCCATAGATGACTGTCCAGCAAATTTCAGAGGCTTTACACCACATGAGAAGATTGTCCATCTTTCTCCCATGGGGTAGCTGATGGATTTGAACACTTCTGCTTTTGGGTTGGCAGTTCAACTCCTTACCACTTGCCACAAGACTTCCTTACTATACAGGCAGCAAATGATATTTTCTGTTTCTTCTGATTAAAAA